GCATATATTTTAAGTACATTTTAATGGGTGGTTACTTTTAAAAAAACAGGATGGAAAACCTGTCACCAGTTGCCTATTGTTGTTTCTATACCATGTAATCATAATAATTTTGAATTCAAATCAGACAGCCATCATGTTCATTTTGTTTTCTGAAGACTATTCAACCCTCTTGGTTCCTTATACCAGCCATTAGGCTGATAAATTCAGAAAGTTAGCTAGAAAAAAAATAAGAGTATAAATAATTATACTGTATACATACAGTATGTTTGCTTTATACCATGATCTTTTATGCATGCTAAAAAAAAGTACATCTTTGAATAATCTTCAACAAGTAACCTAAATCTTGCAAAGAAATCCCAAAATTCAAAGATTTGTTGGAAAGCTCCAGTTATAGTATATTGTTTAGTATATAGTATATTGTTTAACCAGGTCCTCAGAAATAATCATTCAGCAGAAGAACCATTTTGGGAGGGTTAGGCAAAGTACCGTTTTAGATATTACTTTATTTTACGGTGCACTTAGCATTGATTTCCACTCGCATGATCCTAGTGCTGAAAATATTTCCTTTCCTTGTATCTATCCATTAGGTTTTATCAAGATTCCAACTGCAATTCAGCCCAGTATCTCTATATTTCTTTGATTTGTATTAAGAGCTTTATGTTACTGTGTTACTTTCCCCTCCTTCTCATCCATTGTGCCATTAAAACGTTTCTCTTTTTCTTTTTCCTATTTTCTCAGTACAGGAAAGGAAATATTTCTGTCACTTTCCATGGGGCCAGCCTTCCATCTTGCAGTGGTGCTACTGTTCAATGGCTTTTGGAGTCTCTAAGTAGTATCCAATTTATTTGTATTCCGATGTCACTTAGAGGAAGTGTATGTCTCTGTCAGTCAAAGCTCAGGGTACTTTGCACTCGTGGAAGCTCCAGGATGTACAAATTGACAATATCAATTCTAGCCAATCATCTTGCAGGCAATTTTCACCTGTCTGCTGAAAAGTGTTATCCCCCCAATTCATTCTACAGAACCATTTACTGTCATCAGAGCCCATCTTAGGCTGCTTTCCTGAGCAATGCCAAGATCTGTGAGCTCAATTTCCAACCTGTTTTGGTTTTTTTTCTTTATATATAGGACTCACACTAAATAAGAAAGGAAGCTTCTCAAGCGATCTATTGTTTGGCTGGCAGAAAGAGTGTGTACAATCATTTGGGGTGGCTATTTTTATCAGATTTTGTAATGGGCTTGTTGCTATATAGTAGTACCCAACTCTGTGTTTATGGGGAAGCCTCCGTTTTTAGAAGCTGTTAGTCTCTAAAAGCCTAATTTGGTTTACCTCACTTCACTTCAAATGCTCCTGTTTTGCTAGAGATTTGCGTCTTTCTTGGGGTTTGCATTCATCACATTTAAACAGATAATTTGGAATCTATATCTACAAAATATAGAACTAAAATCACTCACATTTACTACTTGTGGGTTCCCTGTGGTTGATTCCTAAATATCACTGTAACATCCTGCAGGTTTCAGTAGGAGATGTTTTACTTTGGCTCACATTTGTATAATAGTCACAGTATTATAGAAATGATAGGCAAATATGCTAATCTCCAGTACAATAATAATATTTGTGTACACTCAGATACAGAGATTGAGCCAGTAATGCATGTATTTTCATACTACCCATTGTGACATCTATGGCATCTGGGGTTCATAAACTCGATTATCAGAATTTTTAGTTGTCTTTCTAATCAGGATGTTAACATCTTCTTTCTTCAAGGCCTAACTTGTTTAACCAGCGTAAAGTCTGTCAAGTTTCTAGGAATAACCATTATTTGCAGAATTCAGTTGATACTGTCTTATTATTATTAATTGTTTCAGGTTTGGTTTTTCTATTATGAACTTCTATTTTATTGGTCTAGATCTAGGACAATCAATCAATCAATGTTTTCTTCTCCAGAAGGAATTTTTCAATGACTATTGTATCTAATTTGTTTGCAGGATGAGATTTAGAATTAGTATCCTAAATTCTAGGTTTAAAATGACCTCAAAGATCACTTAGTCAAATCCTTTTGCTCAGTACAGAAATTCATTATTTCAGCATCTCCAACCAGCATTTGCTTGGACATCTCCAGCAGAAGATACTCTACTTCAGGCCTCTGTTTCATTGTTGTATAACTGAAGGTATCCAGCTGAAAGCTACTTCTGTGAAATTTAAATCTATTGTTTAATCCTTCTCTTCCCTATCTTCCTGAATTAATCTGTTCAATTCTTTCTTCACCATAACAGCCCTTCCATTACTAACACCATTTAACATTTACAGTTAGTTAGTTAGTTAGTATAGTGTAAACAAGGAAGAGTGGTGAATTTATTGATTTATTTTAAATGTTATTGTCCTAAATTCATCATGACAACTTCTGGGAGCAGTTTATAATATAGAAAAAATAATAATAAAGTAACAATATGTAAAACAACAGATGAAAAGTATGACATTAAAATGCCTGGGAAACTGAAAGAGAGGGAGAAAAAAAACAGTAAGATCAAAGGTTTAAATATACTTTCTCAGCTACTAACATCAAGAAGAAATCTGGAGAAGAGTCTCAAAAGAAAATTTGCATTTGGCAGGTGTATATGGGCATAGATAACCTCTCCACAAAGAAGTTGGTAAGAATTGTTTTGGCAAGGAATCTTCAGATGTATATTAAAATAAGCCCCTAGGTTAACCTTAAAAACAAATGCATACCAGAATTGAGAAGACAGCAACAGACAGCAAGTGCCACCTATGCAAAGAATCTGAAGTAACAATGGACCACCTGGTTAGTTACTGCAAGAAGATCATACATGCTGACTACAAGCAACAAAATAATAAAGTAGCAACAATGGTGCATTGGAAGATCTGCAAGAAATATCATTTGCCTGCAAGCAAGAACAGGTGGGATCATAAAATAGAGAAAGTCATACAAAATGAAGAAGCTAAATTGCTCTGGGTCTTGAGAATTCAACAGACGGGCACCTGCCACATAACACCCCAGACTTAACAATTGTCAATTAGAAAGGCAAAAAACTCTGACTGGTAGATATGACAGTACCTGGAGACAGCAGAATAGAAGAGGAGAGAGGGAGGAGGAGAGGGAAAAAGTAGGTAGCAAAGCAGAGGAGTGACGGAGATCTGGGAAAGAGCGATTGGTTCCCCCCCCCAATCCTCGAGCGCAGACTGTGGAGAAGAGATGGGTTCAGCACAGGGCAAAATGATGGCTCAGGGGGAGGGTGCCCCACCTGGCTCACCTGGGGAATAAGATTTAAAGAGATGCCTTTTTCCAGCCATGCTTGCACAAGCTGCCATCTTGTCTTGCTGTGCTTAGCCTTGCTTTGCCTGGGTTCGACTTACCTTGCTTTGCCAGGCCTGGCCGTAAGCAAGTATTCAGCAACACAGCTCTGCTTCGGGCTGTGCTGCAGCCCCAGCACACAGACACACACATATATCTATGAACTTCAATTCAATAATGAAGCATTCATTTTTCAATGAATAAGAAATGTTTTTAAAAGTATTTAGACTGCTTCTTGTATTCAGACTGGACTTTTTTCTCAAAATTATAATATCCCCCAACTGCATATTTGACATTATAATGTATTTACATCACTCTTCAGTAATGAAAATGTGATATTCCAGATTCATATAGTAAGTGAGAGAGAATTTTGTCTGAGTGGAAGACAAATATTCTGTCATTACTTCCTTTTTTTCATCATCTGCCAAATATATGTTCTTTTTGAGAAAGGCAACCAGTCAAACCCCCCAAAGCATTACAAAGTTCATAGGAAGGTACAGGTAAAAAGTAATTGTAGATTATGACTAACTCTATTAGAAACCATTTCTTGACAGCAGCCTAATATTCACACAGCCTTGGTCCACACAGCACTCAACAACAGAAATGAAACCATGTATAAATGTAAAAGACTTTCATTTCCCAGGTATAAATACCAAAGATGACCATGCAACAGATGCCAAGGATGGAAGAAAAGCAGATTACCTAAACAAGCGGTCACCAACTGGTGGTCTGCAAGAAATTTTGATGGTCCACAGAAAAATTATTTGCATTTTTTATACTGTACTAAATGCTATTTATCTTTTTTAAAAATTCATATTAGTGGTCCACGGGATTTAAAACTATGAATTTAATGGTCCCTGAGGTCCAAAAGGTGACCTCTGACCTAAACAGCAAAAAAGAAAGGCCCCTAATGAGCAAAAGGAGGAGAACTGCTGAGTAAGACTACCAACAAGAGGAGAGAAAACTCAGTAATTTGCATACAGAGAAGAGAAAGTTGGAGATGTTGAGTCTAAATGTAACAACAATGGAGAAAGGTGAATTATGATTTCCTCAAAGTAGAACTGACTTAAAAAAATGAGAGACTGAAAGCATGAGGCTTAATTTCTAAATGGATACTCCAGTAGTTGGAAAGAGGCAGTGGTGGGTTGCCCCCAGTTTGGACCGGTTCGCAAGAACCAGTTGTAAAACCCGTGGGAGGCTCTGCCCATCACCCTGGATGTCGTCATCAGCGATCTGCATATGTGCAGAAGCTTCTGCGCATGCACCGAAGAAAGGCGCGCGAGAGAGTGAAGCGAACCAGTAGTAAATGTAAGTATGAACCCACCCCTGGAAAGAGGTATCATATTTTGAGAGTAGCTAATAATGCAAAGATTAATCACAAAATAGCCTAGGCCTCGACAATTGAATGGTAGATTTGATTCTTGCACATAAAATGGTTTCCTATACTTTAGCTGTGTTGTGTCTTCTATCATCTTTTTCTTCAGTACCCCTTATTGCAGAGGACAAAACATGTCCCTTGGAAGTCCCTGTAATGGACCCATAGTGTCTGTTTTTATCTGAATGTCTGTGCTGAATCAAATACTGTTGTAACAAGAGATATTTCCATTGCCATTGTTGCTAGAATGCTGGGCTTTCCTCTAGTGTACATATTTGGTGAAATTTGCCTGTTCATATCTTGTTTTCTAGGAATTGCACATCTGCTGGAATATTGTACCAGCTTTGTTGAAATCTAGTGATTTGGAAAAGCAGAGCAAGGGAAAAGGGACAGACTGTTTACAACTTACAACACAGAAGCACATAATTATTCCATGAGCAATGGATGACATGCAGAGGGCTGATGGAGAATTCAGAGTCTGAAAAAAAGCATGCAGTTGACAATACTCTGCTAGCAACTGGCATTTATTTTCCTTTGCTGTTACAGTGTGCAAATAGACAGCCAGAGATATTTCATGATTTGGGCTTCTATAATAATGTCTCCAGGCAGATCTTTGTGGGCTTACAGTAAACGTAGATCTATCTCTTTACTGTCATATATTGCCACCATGGTAATGGCTCTACCCTGTAACACGTTAGGAAATTGTAATTGGGAGATTTTTCTCTTGTCTTTAATTTAAACCCAAGAGTCTTATTAAGCTGGCCCAGGGATGCTGATTAAAAACAGTCTTTCACAATTACTATTCACAGAAGCACCTGCACTTAACCTCCAGTCTTTTTGCTGCTGGGGTTGGAGCAGGCAGCTGATGAATGAGAGACTTTATGTGCCATCTTGGGTTTCTTCCTGCATTCCAGATGCTTAAGCCCACCTCCATGTGTCTTTAAGCTGCCTGTAAATGTTAAGAGAGGCTGTAGAAATGTCAGCTTTGTGGGAAAGGAATCTATTTGTAACTGATAAAGAGAAGTTGACTTGGAAAGATAGGAGAGAAAGCTTTTCAATTTAGCTAAAATGTGATGGATGTCTCCAAGTCTTGTACTGAAGCATTTGGAATTATAAACAGAAACCTAAGAGTCAAGATCCACAGTGGAAGATTTCCAGCATCAAAACTGGCTTTTTTTTTCTCTTTCCTCTTTAGACATAAATTCTGATTAATGAAGGCCTAAATTGCTTCTACCGTTTTTCTCTATCCATGTCCACAAAAATAGATTAAAATACATTGGATAATCAGCATTTTCTCTCTTTTATTCAACATTTTCTTTACAGATTTGAGCCATTATCCTATAGCTATCACTTAATTTTTTTAGCTGGATTGCTTCCTTATTATACATTGTGGAATTATACTCAATAATGTATTGGTGTTCTTTAAAAATATGAATATTAATTTTAAACATCTGAATATGGTGGACCAGGATTTTAGTACCTTCCTTCAAGCTTTTCTAGTGTCTGAAAGGATATATAGTCGGTCACGCAGACCTCAGAACTTCAGCAATTGTCCATTTACAAAATGGACAATTCTTATATATTTACAGAATGAATGTCGTGCATTAAGGGAAAAATAACATCAGATTATATTATGTGCTGGTCTTTTATTATTGTATTTATTATAATGACATTTATGAAAATTGGTTTAATAACAAATATATAATTATTAACTAATTATGTAAGGTAAATACATCGGTGCTTCCCAAACTTTGTACATATAGCCAGGGACTGATTCAGATGTGGGTTTCAGCAGGTTCTGACCAGTTCTGGAGAACCGGTAGCGGAAATTTTGAGTAGTTCGGAGAACCAGTAGTAAAAATTCTGACTGGCCCCACCCCATCTATTCTTTGCCTCCCAAGTCCCAGCTGATTGGGAAGAAACGGGGATTTTGCAGTAACCTTCCCCTGGATTGGGGAGGGAATTGAGATTTTACAGTATCCTTCCCCTGCCACACCCACCATGCCACACCCACCAAGCCAAGCCATGCCCACCAAGCCACACCCACAGAACCAGTAGTAAAAAATTTTGAAACCCACTACTGGACTGATTGGGGGTGGGGGTTAGTGTTAGTATCTTGTTTTGTGTCTCCTGACATCTATGTATGCCACCAACAGTCTTCTGGGAATTGGGTAGCCTTCATAAACCCAATAAATAAATAATATGTGCAAAATAGTAGACAGGCTTCTGGGCATGTATCCAGTGTGTATTTTTAGTTTTCAGTCTCCTGATTTCCAGGGAAGAGAAAAGCTTCTTCAGAGAAAAGCTCTTCTCATTCCCTTCCCACCAGAATATTCATATTGGTGAGAGACTCCAACAGAGAAAAATGATTTTTGTGTATTTTCTCAGAACCAGGATTTGTTTTGTTGAAAACAGCCCCTTTTCCCAGGTTTCCCTCTGCTGCTTTAAGGAATCCACTCAATGATGTTGCGGTGACTTAAAATAGAAACTACTTCTGCCATGTTGCTCATATGAGCTGAGTTTTACTGTGGTCTTTGGCATTCAATAATCATGTCACCATTGGGGGGGGCTGTTTGGAATATAGAAATGTATCAGGGGTAAAATGCTACCGGTTCGGACCAGTTCGGGCGAACCAGTAGTAAAAAATACTACCGGTTCACCCAAACCAGTATTTCTAAAGATCAGCCGGCCGACGATCAGCTGTGACGTGCAATTTATATTAGCTAAAATCATCAGATTTCCTGCTTTCTAGCTAATCTAAATGGCATGGCACAGTGGATTTCCCCCCCCCCCTTGCTGTTCTACTTACCTTTGCAGACTCGGAAGGCTTCAAAATATTCCTTTTTTAGCGCTGTGTGGGCCTGCCTCAGGCACGCATGTGTGCGCAAAGTGTGCCCTTAGTAGCAGTCTCACAGAACCAGTAGCAGACTTTAGAGGATTTCACCACTGGTCCATACATTCCATCAGAAACATAACATGCTTCTCTATATGCACGATTGGAGGAAGGGAGGGAGGAAGGGAGGAAGGAAAAGAGAGAGAGAGAGAAAGATACTTCATTTACCATTGCATCCCTGATAATTTAAAACAATCCAAAATATTTTCCTCCTTAAACTACTTTGCCTTTCCTGTCAAGAGTTGGCATGATTTTTTTTTATTATAGTAGAGGTGCATAACTTAACTCTCAAAAATCTCCCAAAGCTGCTACCAACTTATAATTTTTAATGTGAGAAAAGGGGAAAGACTATGACAGGAACAGAACCATATTATTAATTTGCAATTCAAATGTAACTGCAAATAAAATAAAAACAAACTCAGTTCCTGTTCTGGTCCTGCCCTCTTCATTTTTAGAATTCAGCTCCCAGATGCTACTCAAAGGCAAATACAGTCCTTGGACTTTAAAAAGTTAAGGTTACTTAAAAAGTGTTACTAGAGTTTCTGCTCTTGCTGTTACTACATCTTTCCTAGATGTTATTTTATTTTATATTTTATTTCTATAACTGCCCATCTCAACAAATGACTCTGGGCAACTCACAATTCAAAACATATTGTCAGCTTTGGAAGCCATATTAGGCTGGAAGCTTCCATGCTGCCACCTTCTCGTATGGGAAAGTAGGAGGGGGGATTTAGTAGAGGGGTTGTCTTTAGACATAAAGACAGTCATTCTTCCTGTCAGTCAAGGTCAGGCTGATCCTGCATCTGGAGAAGGAGTGGTCAGAGTGCTGTCTCGAGATGGGAAAGATGGTGATTGTGCATAAATAAATGACAGTCCAAGAATAAATCAATGACAGCCCAAATCACCAGGGGTTCGCATGGAGGCCTGAGAGTTTTGATTTACTGAGGGAAAACCCGGACCTCTCAGAGTTTTTTCTGGAACGCTAACACATATATAGCAATTAAAATCTTAAAGACATTTTAAAGCAATAAAACAGCAAAAAGTGTTAACATTAAAACATATGATCTGAAGACTATACAAAGCAAGATGTCTGGCCTGTTAACAATATAGTCAGAAGGTTGGGCCCTTAGTACATGTTAGAGGCCCAGGTTTGGGAGCATGGCCAGGTTTTAAAAACTTTACAGAAGACTAACAGGGTTGGGGGTCATTCTAACCTCTGAAGGGAAGATGTTCCACAGAGCAGGGATTGTTGCAGAAAAAGCTCAAAAAATATATGCAATATTTCCACTTTTATAGCTATTGTACCATTACCGTTTCATCATACTGGCACCAAAAATCTTACCTAGGCGTTTATTCAACAACCTTTAGGGTTCTCTGAGAGATTTGAGTGTACAAACCTACCTCATCAGCTCTGAAATGATCTGTGCCCAAGAGCCAGGGCAAGAGGGAGAGAACATAGAATAATAGAGTTGGAAGGGACCTTAAAGGTCTTCTAGTCCAACCCCCTGCTCGAGCAGGAGACCCTATACCATTTCAGACAAACAGTTGTTCAGCTTTTGAAAGCCTACAGTGATGTAGCATCAACAACTTCTGAAGGCAAGCTGTTACATTGGTTGATTGTTCTCTGTTAGGAAATTTCTCCTTACTTCTAGTTGCTTCTCTCCTTAATAGTAAAGAATGTCTTCTGAGTAAATCTTACCTACGACACAGAAAACTACACTAGCTTTGATTCCCCCTTATCTGACATATTGTGGAGGATACTTCACATGCAAATAATGACAGTTTTACAAGGCCAAGGAGAAAAAAATGCAACCAATTTTTATTCCTGTTCAGTCTATTTTAGGAGCCAAAGCGGAGACAGTCGTTTGCATTACTTTTTCCACAAGATGAATGTGAGACTGTCTGTGAGATATGGAAATTAGTATGCAGAAGAGGAAATTGTTTTAGCACCTTTCTTACAGCCTTATACTCTTTTAAAATATGACTTTGACAATGAATGGAATTTATATTTGCCAATAATATCCTCTAAAGGTAAATAAATCTATGTGTTGAATGGAAGTTAAAAAAAGAATAACTTCTTTTCGAGCAAAGAACCTAAAGAAATAGGTAAGAATGTTTAAAATGTCAAGAATTCAAACTAATGTTCAGCACTGGTGAATGGATTAATGATGTATTTAGCATTATTGCCACTATGCAAAAAAAAAATTATATTATTTTCAAGGGTATAGTTTGAAGTGAGGGTTCACAATGTCTAAAACATTACTAAGACTATACATTTTAAATTCTTCTGACAACTGATTTCTCAAAAAGCCTCAGAAGATAATCCTACACTTGTTGAAAATGAAGGCCGCAAAGAAATATTTCAAGCTAGGTCAAGATTCGGATTTGCTGTAGTTTTATTGTCAATGCTAAGCATCTTTTAAAGAACCAGACATCTTTCCATCATTATATTCTTGATCTATTCCTCTTTGTTCTTCTCATTACTGACTACTGACATACACCAAAAGGCATCTGCAGTGGGGGAGGAAAGGAGTGGAATGACCAAAAAAAATATGCACAGCTGTAATGCAAATCAAGTGATTTATATGCTTCTGTTCAACACTGGAACTGAATGAATGGGGAATGGGGAATGGGGAATGAGGAATGGGGAATGGGGAATGGGGAATGGGGAAGAGGAGAGGAGAGGAGAGGAGAGGAGAGGAGAGGAGAGGAGATTGGACCAGGGGTGAAATCCAACAGGTTCTGACAGGTTCTGAAGAACCGGTAGTGGAAATTTTGAGTAGTTCAAAGAACCGGCAAATACCACCTCTGACT